TTGGGATCTTGGGCATGCACGCAAATGCACCCTGTGTGAATTTAAGCCACCAGGACCAGGACTCAAACTGCTGTCAACTACATGGGAATCCAGCGACATAGCCATTACACCAACTGCTGGTCCCAAGACACATTAATTCTTCACATTTTAACTCTGAAAACAGGATATCTTACATCTGTTGGTATACAAGTCTGATTAGCAGCATTTCTTCCTAGTGGTATGTAAAATAACTGTGACCCTTACAAACATTGTCACCATAGATTTGATTGAATAAGGTATATTCTATTATAATCACTTTGTATATTTCCTTTTTTTCTTTGAGATATTTTTGCTATAGGGCGCGTGCAATCGCCAGAAAGAGACAGAGAGACAGAAAGTGAGAAATCACCCCCCCGGGGGGGGCGGGAATGGCCACACTGCAATCCCTTCTCCTCCATTTTCCTCTGGCAATCTTGGGTACGCACACACGTGCCCAGTGTGAATTTAAGACACCGGGTCTGGGACTCAAACCTCTGTCAACTACGTGGGAATCCAGCGATATGGTCATTATGCCAACTGCTGGTCCCTCACTTTGTATATTTCTGTGTCCTCTACTAGTCTGTAAAATGCCACAAGGCAGGTGCCATGCCATTATTGCTTCTGACTTGTATAGACCTGGGTACAAAGAGGGAGTATATATAAAAAACACTAGTAGTAAATTACATGTATTTAGCATTTATAAGTATCAGATACTGCTCTAAATACTTTACATGTATAAACACATTCTTTTGGTTTTTTTGGGTTTTTTTGGAGAGGTTTTAGCTATAGGGCACGTGTGCTCACCAAAGATACAGAGAGAGACAGAGAGGCAGAAATCAAGAAATCATCCCCTAGGCGGAATGGCTGCAATCCTTTCTCCTCCATTCTCCTCTTGGGATCTTGGGCACACACGCACACACGTCTGGAGTTTAAGCCACTGGGTCTGGGACTCGAACCGCAGTTGACTCGTGGGAGTCCAGCGACGTAGCCATTATGCTAACTGCTGGTTCTATAAACACGTTTAACCCTTGCAACAAAACCTCATGAAGTACAATTATTTTTACTGTTTTATAGATGAAGAAACTGAGGCACAGACACTTTAGATAAGGTCATTCAAAAATACAGTAAAGTTCCATTAGATCTGAATCCATATTTGCCAATTATGATTCATGATTATTTATCATGTTTCCATCTAGCAAATATTTAATGAGCAATTACTCTAGACTAACTACTGCACTAAACACTGGTAAGCAAACTCTTCTCCTAGGGCGTCTGAACCACAGGTCCATTCTAAAAGCCTTTGCAACATCAGGACTAACTCAGTTTCACTAAGTTGAATCCACTCTCCTCTTTACTCTTCCTTTTTAACAACTTCCAAGATAGCTTTTCTCTTAAAGCTGTCAGCACTATATTAGGAACCAAAACAAAATACAAACAAAACAAAAAAATCCTTTGTGCTCTATTTATTATTAATTAGCTGCTATGAAAATATCACAATAGAGACTTCAGGGAGGGAATGGGTTGCTAGATCAAAAGGGCTTTTAAGAAACAAGATTCTGTTTTCAAGCAAATGTTGTACTTTCAGTTTAAAAAAAAGGGGGGAGTAAAAACACCATAATTTTGTTTTTAAATAGAATGCTTAAAAAAAGTTTTCCCTGAAGCATGAGATGCTTTTTTAAGAAAAATGATTCATTTTATCAGAACAAAAATGAACTAATAAATCTTGCTCCTTTTATTTTAGCCCTTGCTATGTTAAGAATTCATGAGAAATCCTTACATCCCCCAGGCTCATCTCCCTTAGACAGAATGTTCAAATAACAGGCAATCGAGATTCTGGACACCCCCTCTATTCCTGCCTTGTTAAGTGACTGTCATCTACTATATTAAAGTAACCAAAAAAAGAAAATGAGGAGGGCAGGAAATTCTCATCACAGCTGAACAAACACTATTATTTTAACATAACAAGGATGGTGTTTAAGGACTGGTTTAAACTGATGGAAATTTCCAATAGAGGGAAAAAAATGCATTTCCAACATTCAAAATAAAATGTCTAGGGGCCGACAGGTGGCATAGTGGCTAAGGGCATTGGACTCCCACATGATTTACTGTGATTCATTTCCCTGACCTGGTGGCTTGCTTTCGCACTGTCTTTCTCTGCCCCTCTCGGTTCAAATTAAAATAAATAAGTTAAATAAAATAATTCTTTAAATAAAATAAAAATCACAGGGACCAGCAGGTGGCATGGTAGTTATGGCGCTGGACACTCCCCCATGGCTGACCATGGTTCAAGTCTCAGACCTGGTGGCGAGTCCTGGACCTGGTGGCTTGTTTTCTCACTTTCCCTCTTTCTCTCTGTGTCTCTCTCTGGTCAAATTTAAAAAATGAATGAATAAATAAAATTAAAAGAAATTTTTTAAAATAAATAATAAAAATCAATGTCTAATTATTTCAAAATAAAATAAGATGGCAAGACCAGGTCTAATATTTTACACTTCTACTTATCCTGCCATGGTGGTAAAGACAGAAATGAACTGGGATTCTATAATGAACTATGACAATAATAACAAACGCTTACTTTTCAAACTATCCTCTAAAAATGAATAATCAGGGACTGGCAGGTGGTGTGGTGGTTAAGGGCGTTGGACTTCCATATGGCCAGCCATGGTTCAAGTCCCAGACCTGGTAGCTTGCTTTCTCACTTTCCCTCCCTCTCTCTCTGTCCCTCTCTGGTCAAATTAAAATAAATAAATAAAGTTAAATTTTAAAAATTATTTAAAAAGGGACCAGCAGTTGGCGTAATGGCTATGTCGCTGGACTCCCACGTAGTCGACCGCAGTGTGCGTGCATGCCCAAGATCCCGAGAGGAGAATGGAGGAGAAGGGATTGTGGCGTGGCCATCCCCCCTGGGGGGTGATTTCTCGCTTTCTGTCTCTCTGTCTCTCTCTGGCTGGCTGATGAGTGCACGCGCCCTATAGCAAAAACCTCTCCAAAAAAATTAAAAAATGAAGGCTGCTAAGCCAAAAGAAAAATTATTAAAAAAAAAAATCAGTGTTACAATCAGATAATTTATTGGGAGAACCAAGGAACTAGAACAAAAAAGATGAAAATTATGTCACTGAGCATTTCCAGGAAAGAGAGGTAAAACACGTTTTGCCAGATAGAGAGGTTCATTTCTCCCATTGCTATAAAATAATTCACCCTCCTTATCTGTGAATCTTCAAGGACCTATAACAGTACAACCACTCCCTGCCTTTACTCAGTTAAAAGACAAAGCCTCACCAATTTCCGAAGGGCCTCCCACTTCAAGCTCTCAATTCTCAGAGCCAACAAAGCTGAAGCATCTGTTTCTGTCCTTTAGAAAGGAGTTGGCACATCTTTTTCAAAAGTTGTGGTTAGAAAGTCATTTTCTCTCTCTGGAAGCACACATTTTAATTCTACCCTTTGCTCTGTTTACCCTGAAAAACAACAAAGGCTTACAGGAGTGTTCCTCCAGCCTCTCTGAAAAGAACCAGCCACCTCTTAGGGTACTGTGCAGCTGCTTCCATCTTTTTCCTCCTTCAAGACACTCCAGCAGTAGACAAGCAGAGTCATAAAAATAAAGAGTGAGCGAGCTAAAAAAGCTGGTGTGCGCTTATCTGAACTCTAAAATAGAGAGAGGACCCTGAGGCAACCAGAGACTCCTTTGCAAAGGAAAACTTTACAATTTAAAAATAACAAACTGTATTTGCACACCCCTTCCTGGGCAGCCCTCCCAGCTTGTCTCAAACTAGTTTTCTCAACTCATAATAAGGCACATTAGAGCCAACTGTGTTACAAGGGAACGTGAGTGATGGTATTCAGCAAGCATTGAACAGATTGGGCCTCCATTCCCCATTTCCTTCCTCTTGGGTGAGGAGCTACACACCATTAGGAAAAATGCTACAGTGTGGTATTTTTCCTACACAAGTCTGATGGCTACTTTATTATATCACGGAAGAAACTGCTATTTCTGCACATGACATGCTGTGCCTATGTAGAAAACACACGTTGTCTATTGAGATTTTACACATAATATGCTGCTTCTTGACGAAGAACTCAGTCATTTCATTAATAAGAGTAAGGTCTAACATCTAGTAATATTGGGGCAAGCAAGCAGCCTGGTGGTTAAGGTGCTGGACTCCCACATTGCTGACCACAATTCGAGTTCCCGACACTTTCCCTCTCTCACTGGTCAAAATGATAATAAACTAATTAAATCAAATTAATAATTCTTTAGGGGGAAAAAACTTCATGGACTACTTTATTTTTTTTAAAAAGAAATTAGTAATATTGCTGGTGATATAGGAGCATCGGCATAGAGCTTACAATATTCATAAACCGATCTCTAGCTCATGCATGATGCTTGCAAAAGCCGTCTGAAGCGTGACATCTTCCAGC